GCCGGGGGGGGTGGAACCGCTTCAACACGCATTCGAGATGGGCGTTTTTTTTTTTTTGAGAAAACCACGGTAAGGAACCGAACTCTGTACACCGACGCTTTCTGCGCTGAAATCTGCACAGAGAAGCGGCACAAAAGGAAAAAACGTCATACAAAGAAACTTTTGGCGCTCCGCCCGTACTTCTGCGATCCGTGCTATATCCCCTTTCCTGGCGCGCAGAGCGCGTCAGGGGCGGCGCCGGAGGCGCAGCCAGGGGGGTCCCAACGCAGATCCAAACAATTCGAGCGGAGCGCTTCAGTTTATGTTTATGTTTTTTCTTCTTGAAACGGATCCTGGTGTACACGGGACCCTGGTGCATACATGTTTCGCTGTTTCCCCAGGCAGCGGATAACGAAACAGTGTGCATCAAACCACCCCGGCGTCGTCCCCGACCCTCAACAAGTCCTGGGATTGAGCAGCAGCCCGCCACTGGTAATGTATGAGATGCTCCAATTTCAAATTAGGGGTTATTCGATCCGTGACTCCTCGGCCGACCAGACGACGTGGTGTACACATCGATTCTCTCCGAGATGCGTGCGTCGGCCAAGGGGCGGCGCGGAGGGGCCCTCGGCAACCACACCACACCACCCGACGTCGTCGCCGACCCTCAACGAGACCGGGGATCGAAAAACAGCCCGCCACTGGTAATGTGTAATGGAAGGAAACGATTAAAACAACTTTTTGGGGCGGACGATTCGAAAAATTGTTTCGCGGGCCCCCTCGCCCCCGCAATAGCGGGGGGGCAGGGCAGGCAGACGGGGGGCTGACCATTCCGGGTTGCCTGGCAGGCCAGGGGGTGGGGGGGCACGGGGGGGCAGGGGGGGCATGGTAAGGGATGGAAGAGAGGGGTAGGCTGTCATATATGACGCGAGCGCACCTAGCCTGCCCTCCCCCCTCCTCCTCTTCCTCCTCCTCCTCCTCCTCCTCCTCCTCCTCCTCCTCCTCCTCCTCGTCCCCCACCTCCCAATCGCCGCGGCCGTCCGCAAGGACGACCGGCGGCCGTCCGCAAGGACGAGGGTGATCAAGCGCCTCTTCGAAAACCCCTTCCCTAATTACCCCGTCTCCCCTCCGCAGTCCCCCCCCCGCGGCCGCGGGTGATCAAGCGAGCAAAGGAGAACGAGGAGAAAATATGTTCCCCCAACGGGGCAAAAGCAAACGCCGGGGGGTTGACGATTTAAAAAAGTTTCCGGCGGTTGAATTCTATTAGTCCGCCCCACTCAATCATCATTTTGGGGGTCCGGGGGGGGGGAGGCGTTTCTTTTTTATAACAAATCGTTTCCTTCCACTATATATGCTCCAGCTTCCGACACAAGACACAAGGACGAAAAATAAAACATATTTAAAAATACCCCAAAATGGTCCCAAATAGTCAAACAAAACGTCCACCTACTATTTCTTAAATATTCTGGAATGTTCCTCCTGTAAATGGACGTGCCCGACGTAACACAAAGGAGGCCACGCACGGAGAGGTGACTCTGGGCGAGAGGGACCTCTGGCCAAGGGGCTTCGCGAAGGACCGCGTCACAGAGCTCCTCTTTGCATCCTTCGCGAGAACGCCCGTGACCGGCCCCGCCCCCCTCCCTGACTACCTGCCAGACCACCCCAACCCAACCTTCGGCCGGGCATGTCCTCCTACAGGCGCATGTTGGAGGAAACACCAGAAATAGTCAAACAATATTCAAAAAATGCCAAAAAGATAATCGGAAACTCACCCCCAGATTGTTTTTCACTATTTTGAACATTCCTCCTGTAGAGGGACACGACCGACTTAAACCCAACCAAAAGACCCGGATTTGCGCCATGGCCGTCTCGGAACTGGCCATCCCTGGACATTTCTGGACGGCGCCGGCGCCAATCGTGACGTGACCAGCCCCCTCCCCCCCTCCCCTCTCCCGGTCAGGCCCGTTATCGTCGATGATCTTCTGACCCGGGTCAATCCAGACCCGGGTCAGCCAGGCCTTACAGGATCCTGCAAGATCCTGCCAGATCCTGCACCCAAACCCGGGTCAGTGCGAAGGATCCTGCAGGATCCTGCACCCAAGCCCGGGTCGGTGCGCCCCTGGCCCCGCAGGATCCTGCAACATCCAGCGCTCTGGCTGACCACCGTTTGCATTGACACCCGTCTCTTGAGCCCCGATACCGACATGAGATAAAAAATAAGGTCTCGGAGCGCGCTGGCCAGTGCTGCAGGGGAGCACCGTGGGCCCGCACCCATACTCACTCTTCAGCAACGACCGACCGTCCCGGCATTCGTATAGGCCTACCACGACATCTTCTGAGAACCCAGAAACGCTCGAAGAACAAACAAATGTTCTTAGAGCATAAGCCCGATGTGTTAGAACAAGACAGTCCCAGCCAGAAACGTTCTAAGAACATGTCGCGCAAACCACAACAGGATCTTAGAACATTCTTTGGTGGGCCTATAGCCAGGACGCTTCGCCACTGCTTCACACTCGGGGCGAAGGGCTCTTGCGCGCAGCCGAAAAGAATACCTGCAAGTGAAGGGGCCCTGGGACACACAAATAAACACACACAAATACCAGAATTCACCATATTTTCGTGTGTATATATATACATATATATATATATACATGTATTGGGGTGTTTTGTCTTCCCCCCCACTTCCCATATTTTCCCACATTTTCGGGGGCATCGACGATTCATTATGCCTGTGTGCCCTTCCCCCTCCCGAGAAGCCCCTCCCCGGGCCGATTCCCAGGGGCGCAGTCTGGCCGACACCCCGCGGCGGATCCGGGCGTGGGCCTCCGAGGAGAGCCGGCAACGGCGGGGGCGGGGGGGGGGGAGGGCGGGCCTTCTCCCCCCCCTTCCCACTCCTCCTCCTCCTCCTCCTCCTCCTCCTCCTCCTCCTCCTCCTCCTCCCCCTCCTTCTGCTTCTCCTCCACATCCTTCTCCCCCCTCCTCCTCCCTCATCCACCTGCTCCACCCTTCCTCCACCTCTCACTCAGCCTCCCCCCCCTGCCCCCCCCCCTCGTTTTCATCTTCGTCGTTCTCAGGGTCGGCGGCACCGGCCGTAAGGCCTTCGCAATAGGGAGGAGGGCGCTACGGGTGAGCTCGATGGCATGCCAGCAAAAAGAGAAGGGGGTCAAGAGCCAGGCGAGGCTCGGGGGCGCGCACACGTGGACTGGCGATCCCGTGGGCTTGGCGCGTGGTCGCCAAACCCATGGATCGGGGGAGGTCCCCTGCCCAGAGTACGGCCGGTGGCGCCTCGCTGGGCGGCGGGAAGCCGCGATTGCACATGGGAACGGGAGCCGTCGCTAGTCCACGCCCCCTCAATCCATGTTTGCGATCGCCTGAAACAGGGGAAGGGTTAGGTCGGGCATGTCCCCCCACAGGCGGCCTTTTCGGACGAAGCACAAAAGATGGCCCAAAAATCCCCCAACAAGGGTAAAACATACCGGAAACATCGTCTCCAGACTATGTTTGGACTGTTTTGGGATATCCCTCCTGTAGATACGCAGAAGATGGGGTTGGAGGATCGCACCGCATCGCCGATGCATCGGCGACGCCAGCGTGGAGAAAATCGGGCTCCACATCAAACCGCATCGCCGATGCATCGACTATGCGGCGCGATCCTCCAACCCCATCTGCTCCGACCCCATCTGGACGGCCTAGAGTAGAGGGGCAGGCCCGACCTGAGTCCGGGGAGGAAAGGGGGAGGGCGCGCGTGCGGATCCCTGCTGCTGCCTGTTCCCCTTCTGCTGTGCTCTCTCCCCTCGCTTTATGTTGCTCCCATCGTACTTAAGGATCACATCCCAGAAATAATTTCGAGCATCCAGAAGAGTGTCGAAAGAGTGTCGAAAGAGTCTCGAAACAATGTCTCCCAGGGCCCGACACGTGAAAACCCTCGAGTTCCGGTATTTTTTCTGTGCTCGGAATGATTTCTGGTGATCAAGGCCAAAGTAGGTTGGAACATCAGAAGCCTCGCTTTGTGTCTCGGGTGTGGCTAGAAGTGCCCCCTGGCCCAAGGTGCCTCCAGGATCCTCGGGGTGGCCCAGACGGCCTCCAGGGCGCCCCTCGCAGGGCCCAGGGGGCCCCCGGGGCTCCCAAGTGGAGCGGAGAGCTGGGGGGCACCTCGGGCCGGGGGTACCCCTGATAACACCCGACTCTTACCTCCCTTCTCCTGCTGCCCTCTCGCCCTGCCTTCCGCTCCTTCCCCTGGTCGGGGGCAGACGCATGACGAGGAAACCAGGGAGCGTCGAGCCCCACTCGAAACCTTGTGAAGGGAATCCTGGGGGCCTCGCGCGGCAACTTGAGGCCCGATTTGCGTCGGATCCACGTCGGATTTACGTCGGTCTACGTCGGATTTACGCCGGACTGACGCCAGATCATCGTCGCGCAGACGTCGACCCATAGCTTACGGAGCTGACGTGTTGACTAGATAATACTACTATTCTATTACGCACCGCGCGAGGCCTCCAGGATTTTCTCATAAGAAACCAGAGCATGGCGTATGCCAATCTTGATCGTGGCACAGTTATCCTCTTGCAAGTGCTCATGTTGTATCTGCGGGGCGCGGGCGTCGTCTGTCACATCGTGCGGCTATCCGCGTCACGCTCGCGCCGAATCCATGCCGACCGACTCGAACTCGGGCCCAATGCACGTCGGATCCGTGTCGGATCCTCGCCGCTCCGCTGTCGAACCCTTGCCGAGCCCGCCTCGGGCGAACGAGAAGACCGCAGCTTGCGGGACAGACGATGCCCCCGCGAAGAAGCGACCACCTGCCGCCGGGCAATCAGAGTTAAGTCGGGCGTGTCCCCCTGCAGGGGGATTTTCGACGGAGAATTAAAAATACCCCCAAAATGCTCAAAAAATAGTCCAAACATGGTCTGGGGACCATCTTTTGAGTATTTTCTGGCCTACTTGGGGTATTACTATTCGTCGAAAGTCTCCCCGTAGGGGGACAGGCCCGACCTAAAATCAGAGCGGCCGCGCCCGGTCGCCTCCTCAGCCGCTCGCGGTCGAGCTCGCGGAGCGCGAGGCACACCTGCCCGGCGCCGCCGGCCCCAGGCCAGGAGGCCGCTGGGGGCGCCGGGCCTTGGAGAGCTCGGGAGGGCGCCCTTTAGGGCGTGCACACACCTCATGCTCAAAGAGGTGGCCACGATGCCCTTGCAGCAGAAAAGGTGAAGTGCACGCGCGCGTCGTCTCGCGCGCGCATCCCGGAATCCTTCCACTAACTTCTGGTTCCGTGAAGATTTCGAAGTCGAGTGTCCTGGGCTGCCCGCAGGTACCTCCTGGGTGCCTTTCCTGAGCTGCCCGCAGTTATCTCCTAAGTACCTTTCGTGGGCGCATGCGGAAACGTCCAAAGTATCTTTCCTGGGCTGCCCGCAATCCTCCCAAATACCTTCCCCAGGCGCCCGCAGGCACCTCCCAAGTGCCTTTGCCCTGGGCTGTCCGCAAGCATCTCCCAAGTGCCTCTCCTGGGCTGCCCGCGCGTACCCCCCCCCAAGGGCTTTTCCTCGGTTGCCTGCAGGTACCTCCCAAGTAGCTTTCCCGATCATCATCATCATCATCATCATCATCATCATCATCATCATCATCATCATCATCATCATCATCATCATCATCATCATCATCATCATCATCATCACCATCGTCATTATCATCATCACCAACATCCTCATCCTCATCATCATCATCATCACCATCACCATCACCATCACAATCACCATCATCATCTTCATCATCATCATCATCATCATCACCATCATCATCTCAAAGTTCTGCCATGCCACGACATGTATTTTCCTGTGTGGGCGAGGGGCCTGGGCGAGCCGAGGGGCCTGGCCCAGGGCGCGGATGGCCCCCGAACCGTCCACGAAGAAAACGAAACAGCGTGCTGTAAGACTACCTGCGAAGAAACGAGAGGGCGGGGGGGAAGGGGCGAGAGAACTGAGCCAGAAAGGTTGCGGAGGATAAACCCTCGCGGCATTCCGACGCCCATGAAATGAGATGTGATACGCGGCCATCTCAAAGCTCTGCCATGCCACGACATGTATTTTCCTGTGTGTGGGCGAGGGGCCTGGGCGAACCGAGGGACCTGGCCCGGGGCGCGGATGGCCCCCGAGCCGTCCACGAAGAAAACGAAACAGCGTGCTGTAAGACTACCCATTTCCCGAATGGTGGTGTGGCCCCAGGTGCCCACATGAGGGCGCCAGCACGGACACGCGGGGCCGAGAAATAAACGCTATTCGTTTACCAATGTTGACAATCTACTAAAGCCTAACCAACTTAACTGTTGCTGAACAGTGCGGCCAAACAAAATACAGAAGTTTCTGCTGTAGGGTTCGGCGCGCCGGGTCCACAAAAGTCCTCAGGCCCGGTCGACTCCTGAGAGAACAATGTGCTGTTTACCTGAGTAGCTGCAAATACCACCGCGGCCCTGGCAGAGGCACGGAGGTGAGGCAGGCGGGTGGCACGGAGCCCAGCACACGACACGAGTGCGTTTGCGCCACGGGGCCCCGAAAGAGCACATGTCTAACATAAAAATCTTGCAATCAGGCTTCAAATGACCTGCACTGAGGAACGCATCTGTGCATTGCCCGAGCGGACCGTCTGGAGAGGCCTGCCGGAAAGCCCCTGGAGCCCAAGAGGACGAGCCGCCGACCTGAGGGGGCACCAGGAAGTCCCGGGGGGCCCATGCCGGGCCCGGCTCCAGGAGGCATAAGGGGTCCCTAACCAGACGGCCCGGACAACTCGGGACTTGAGCCACCCCAGGACCACTTGCTGGACTTCGGGGAGACTCAGGTCGTGCCAAGGCCGACGCCCCTGGTCAAAGTCCAGGGGAAGCGCGGCCAGGCCCAGAGTTCTGATCCGGGCGGAGAGCCCCCAGGCTCCGGCAAAAAGTTCCAGAACAACCGTCCGAGATTTCACGAGATGCTTCACTCCTCTCGTATTACTTTTCAGGTCCTCAAGGAGGCGGCGCCGGGCCGCGTCGGCCCCGGCGGCAGCGCCGCCCCCGCCAGGAAGACGGCGGCAAGCGCGGCGTCCATCGCATTGCCGCACTCCAGCACGCCTGGGGGGAGCTTGCCCATCTCTGCCAGGATCCTGCCCGGCTCGGCGCAGCGAAGGAAAGACTGCGGGCTCGCCCAGCCCCCCTGGGCCTGGGTCTCCAGGGCGGCGCGCCTGCGGGCCACGAGGTCGTCGGAGGCCCCGCCGTGCCGCAGCTGATGCGGAGAGGCCGCGCCGATGCCCAGCTCCTCCGCCGCTGCGCGCATCTGCAGCCCCAGGTCGCCGCGGGGAAAGCTCCGCCCGATCCCTCGAGGTTCGGCAGCGTCTCCTCAGAGCGAGCAGCGACGGCCCGAGGAACCGGAAGGTGTCCAAAGGGACGGTCATGTCCCACACCCCCGTCTCGCTCGGCACGCCCATCTCCTCCGAGAAGAGGACCAGCGCGGCGACGCCGCCGTTGCCGTTGTCCTCCGCGACGGCCTCGACGATTTGCAGGCCGACCAGCGAGTCCGCCTCCCCCGGCCTCATGCGCGCGCAGAAGCCCAGCACCATGGCCACCGCGTGCTCGACCAGCCGGCGTCGCAGGAGCACGCCGGCCAGCGCGGCCACCACCAGCCATGGCAGCGGCTGCCGGCACCGCCGAGGGACGCACTTGTCCCAGCCCGCCAGCGCCCTCGAGCACCGCGGCAGGTTCTCCGCGCCCCATCTGCCCAGATTGGCCACGAAGAACTTCACCGCGGCCTGCAACTTCGAGGCGTCGTCGCCGCTGTGCCCGAGGAAGTGCAGGAGGTTGAAGTTGCCCACCAGAACCGAGTCCAACTCCGCCGAGTCCTTCCAGTCCCGGCGGTTCTCGGAGGCCCACGACACAAAGGCCTGAGTCCGCCGGCGGTAGTCCGCCAGCGCTGGCTTTGAGATCGACCTTTGCTCCAGGTAGGTGAGCCCCGGCTCCAGGAGGACCTTGGCCGCCTCCCGACGCCGCGCCGCAGCCGCCGCCCCCGCCGCAAGCTCCAGCGCCCCCGCTGCCCCGGGGAGGGCAAGCGGACGCTCCAGCCCAGGCGCGGCCCCCAGCGTCGGCGCCCGCCCCCGCTTGCCGGCCCCCGTCGGCGTCAGCGGGCACATCAGCAGTGCCCCCCGCGCCAGGCTTGGAGGCAGGCAGCGGCGAGACGTCGCACTCGCCCACGCCCGCCCGCGCCACGTCACCGTCCTCGGCGCCGGCCTCCTCGGCCACCCCAGGAGTCTCGATGAAGAGGTACCCCCGGGAAGGGCGGTCGGCAGGGTTGAGCTCGCTGGGCACCCAGCGCACGTGCAGCTGCAGGCAGCAGGCCAAGGCCAGCGCGCAGAGCTCGCGCAGCACGCTGCGGAGCTGCTCCGCCGGGCCACGCCCCTTGCCCGCAGAGAGCGCCAGGGACAGGTTATCCACGAGCAGCACCAGGCGGCGCCCGAAGGCGCCCCGCGAGCGGAGAAGGAGGCGGACAGGGCGAGCCCCTCGGTGCAATAAATGTCGCGCTTCTCCCGCCAGGGGAATGACAGCGCGATCTTCCAGCAGGGGCCCTGCATGAACGAAGCTGGGATCTCGCCGAACTGTTTGTCCAAGTCCTTTGCCTCCTCGCTGGGCAGGGCCGCGGGCCGACGCAGGGTGGTAGCAACCCCACCCCCGTCCAGAGCGTGCGCCCTGGCGCTGATGGCGTCGTCGAAGTGGAAGCGCCACCTCTCCGCGGTACGTCCCATGGCGGCAGCCGCGCTGCCATCCGCCTCCCTGACGCAGACGCCCGCGCCCCAGGGGGCGGCGTCGGACGCGGAGACCTCGGGGTGCCACGGAGCGGCGAGGTGCGCAGCCAGCAGGGGCAGCAGCTGGCAGCAGGTTCCGCACGGTGCGAAACTCCCAGCGCACCGACTCCGACAACGGGAGGGCCTCCTCCCGCGCGGCCTGGCAGAAACGGTAGCTCGCGTCGAAGATGGCGACCGACGGCCGGCGCAGCAGCATGATCCACGTGCAGTGCCCCAGCAGCACCTCCACCATCTACCCGCGCACGGTTGGTCGCGACAGGAGCTCCTCGATGGCGTGCCGCACGCGCCAGAGCCGCTTCGGCGACACCCGCGCACTGTGCGTTGCCCCGCGCTGCTGGCCCGCTGCTGCTCGCGCGCGCTGAACCCGAGGCCACCCAGCTCCGACTCCACCTCGGCAGCCACCGCGTCGACCGTTGCACGGCAAGCGCCCACCACCAGGTACCCAGAGGTTCCACGGTTCCAACAGATAGAACCTTATGTCGTGGTTCTATCACGATAGACCCCTTTCGCACGGTTCTAACCACCACTGTCATGGTTCTATCCATGTTATGTAAATACACTATTTTTCAACATCATATCATCATACATAGCAATCAAGGCTGGACATGTGGATCGTATGTGTTCGTTGAGTTGCTGATGGCGTGCGCTGCTTGCTAGCGAACCATCCTGTACATAGATTGCACTTTTCGTGTTATGTTCCCGTCCTGGGCGCCAGAGTCTGGCATCGTGAGGAGTACATCGTGAACGCGTTTGCGATCGCCGCGCACAAGAGTTGCACTGACCCCCTGGTCTTGAAAGCACCTCTCTTTCATCACCCTGTGCCCCTTATATCCTCACCAACAGCATCATCACCACCATCACCACCACCACCATCACCACCATCATCACCGCCACCATCACCACCAGGATGGAGGCAGGGAGTGCGAAGGTGAAGAGGGTTGAGATGCCAAGGAGTGGGCGGGAACGGACAAGGACGAGGACGAGAAGGAGGGGGAGGAGCAGAAGCACGAAGAGGAGGAGGAGGAGGAGGAGGAGGAGGAGGAGGAGGAGGAGGAGGAGGAGGAGGAGGAGAGGGAGGAGGAGAGGGAGAAGGAGGAGGAGGAGAACGATGCGACGATGAGGAGGACGAGGATAAGGAGGAGGAGAAGGAGGAGGCAGGAGGATCGGTCGCAATGGCGACGACGGTGGCAATGACAGGAAGGGGGTGGGACACGGCGGTGGCGGGGGCGACATCGATCGCATTCGGCCCGAGCATATTTTCCCCAAGATGGGGAAGAAAGGGCGGCAGCCCGCGTGCGACGGGGAGGGAATGGAGAAGGACTTCAAGAAGATCTTCAAGAGGTGGATCACGGCGGCGGACGCCGTGGACTACTCCACCGACCTCGAGGACCCGCTGGATGCCGACAAGATCGGCAAGAACGCGGGCCTCGTCGCAGCGCTCCGCGAGGCGACTGGGTGAACCGCAATGGAGGAGCGATGATAGGAATGAAAAGGAGGGTGGGAGCTAGCCTGGAAAGTTAGACGGGCCCCACTCGGGGCCCAAAACTTCTGACGATGCCCAACATTTCGTAGGCCCCACGTGGGCCCTGTCCCATCCATCATATGCAGTTCCGATGGCCACCACCCTCACCCCGTTCACATTCCATTGCAGCCCCACGGTGGATGGAACGATTCTGGGGGGAGGGCAGGAGGATGAGGATGAAGATGATGCGGAGTGCGAGCGGGGATGAGGATGAGGATGAGGATGAGGCTGGCGAGGAGGAGGAGGAGGAGGAGGAGGAGGATGAGGAGGCACATGCGAAGAGTGGAAGTGCCGATGAGCAGGATGGGGAGGAGAAAGATGGCGAGGACGATGCGAAGGAGGATGGAGAGGATGTAGTCCACCTTAGCAGGTGATCGCGCCAGCGGAGCAGCTCACCGTCGCGGCGCTCCAGGTGCCGCTTAAGGCGTTCGCCAACAAGCGGGGCTGGGCCCTCGGAGACGAAGCTGCTGGCTGGGCTCGTGAGCACGCTTACAAAACACAATAGGCTTTGCCATGCCACCGCCAGAGGATGACGATGAGGATGGGTGACGATGACGACGAGGGAGGGCGCGACCACGCTAGACGACGGCGCGGCGAGACGCGAAGAGCAAGACGAAGACGGACGTCGGACGGGAAAGAGGTAGAGAGGACGGAAAGGAGGTATGCAGGGGGAGGAGGGGAAGATAGGGACATGATACGAAGGGAGGATGACAGAGCGGAGGGGAAGCTGGAAGATGGCGGAATGGAAGGGATTGGTAGGAGGGACGGAGAGGAAGGGAGAGGAGGGGAATGAGATGAAATGAATTAGGTGGCATAGGGGGGAGGGAAGAAAGCACGGGAGGAGATGGCGAACGATATGGACGATAGAGAGTGGGAGGGCAATAGTGCAGCCATTATGCTACAACTTCTCCCATTGTTGGGGAACGTCGGATTCGAGCGATGCTACGACACGTAGCACAGGGTGTATCTAAGTGCAGGACCCCACGATAGCAAATGCAGATGACGATGGCCCACTTGCAACCCAATGGTGGTATGATGAGCTCTGAGGTTAAGAGCAGGAGGAGGAAAGATGAGGAGTGCGAATGATGATGAGGAATGCGAATGATGGATGGCATGGCCGATGAGCAGGGCATGGAGGGTATGCGAATGAGGAGGAGGAGGCGCAGGAGGAGGATGAGGAGGAGGAGGATGTGGTGGATGGGGAAGGGGGAGGCGAAGCATGGGCAAAAACATATGCTCCCAGGACTGACGGGCGACCAGCGCCAGAGTGGCTGAAGCCATTCTACGACGAGCCCGAGGACAGCTGGGGAGTCGTAGATATCACCCTCATTCTGTGTGTCTTGGATCCGTCTCCCCGCCATCCTCCCCCCATCACCCGCCAGTCTGACGGCATCAGGTTTCCGCGCCATTCAGCCCAAGGAGGAGGAGGAGGAGGAGGAGGAAGAGGAAAGGCTGAGGCAGTTGATTTTGAGGCCGTGGGGCCAGGAACGGCGTGATAGGATAAAAGCTGGTGGGTGATGTTGGTGGCTGGATGGCATCGGACGACGGACGATCACGAGCTGAGCTTTGAATGTCCCAGCTCAGGACAAGGGCGGCCGCGTGCAGTGCAACGAGTGGGTGTACGAGTTCGACCGCCTGGAGATGGCTGCGGGAGAATCGAAGTAGTGGGTTCGTCGGGACTTGGGCCAGACCGAGAGGATGATGAGGAGGATGAGGAGGGGGAAAGGATGGAACGGATGAAAGGATGAGGAGGGCGAGGATGAGGATGACGAGGGCGAAGATGAGGGGCGGAGGAGTGATACCTGAGAAGTAATGCGATGAGGCCACTGATTATCGTAGGGTATCAGGTTTGACGTCTGAATTCAGTCTGAATTCAGTCTGAATTCCGTCTGAATTCAGTCTGAATTCCGTCTGAATTCCGTCTGAATTCAGTCTGAATTCAGTCTGAATTCAGTCTGAATTCAGTCTGAATTCAGTCTGAATTCAGTCTGAATTCAAGTTGGGTGTCTGGGTCAGTTTGGTGTGGGCCAGTCTGGTGCCGGTTGAAATCATCGTGCGCGCGGCACCTGCCACATATATCGAGTGCCGAGTTGTCTCGAGAGAGGGTGAGGCAGATCCGGATACTTGGGGGTAGGAGGAGGATGGGCATGATTACAGGCGGGAGCAGAGACGTACTAACGACCCGCCCCACCCCTCCAGCGAGGCTGTGTGCCGCAAGAAGCTGAAGAGCAAGAGCACGAAGCCCACGATCGAGTGGGCGAATCCGATCGACACCACGGGCTGCGATGACGACGACCCTGTGAAGGCGGTGTTCGAGGACGGCACGACCCACACGGTGGCTGGATTGACTGTGAAAGAGTACGCTGAGATGAAGCACAAGGAGATCAAGAACCACATTTTCTACGAGGGTAAGAAAGATAAGACTACCAGAATATGGGCATCACCATACAATCGGAAAGGACAACAATTTCTGGCGTTGTGGCAGAGATTAGACGGGAAACGGTTGCAGATGGTGATCCAGATGATGATGAAGCCCCATTACAAGTACGAGGATGGTGTCAAATTGTTCCAGTCAATGGGTATGGCATATGCTTCGAACGAGAAAGACAAGCAGGCGCTGGACGACCAGAAGGCGCAGTGGATGCAGGAGCGTGACAAGGCTGAGAAAGTCAATGAGAAGAGCACGAAAATGACTGTAAAGAAGAGGCCGTCCGCGTCATGTGAAGCAGCTGTTATTAAGAAGACTGCATCGCATGATGATGATCATGATGATGATGATGCTGGTGGTTCAGATCACGACGGATCGGAAGATGACAGCGAAATGAGGCCCCAATCCCCAGCAGAAGATGACGAGGACAGTCAATGTGAACATGACGCCGAGGAAGATGATGAGGCGCCGCTGGTAGCAAAGAAGAGGCCGTCGGCAAAGGACGATGACAGCTCCCCGCCAGTGATGAAGAGGCCGTCTACAATGAAGCCACCGAGCTCACCGACGGCATCAGGGATGGCATCAGGTTCGGGGGCGCTGCCAGCAGCTTCGCCGCCACCACCTTCGCCGACGGCAACAGCTTCCCCGACCCCGATGTCAACGGCTACGCCAGCACCATCGCCTCCAGCACCACCGCCGCAGCCAGCGCCCGACACGATCATCGGCATTGGTTTCTTCTAGCTGCGGCAGACCGTTGACGAGGAGCGGGGGTTGGGCATAACAATGGCGCGATGGTTAAGGCTGAGGAGGGATTTGAGGAGGGGGAGGTCCAGGTAGGTACTGACCTTCAGATATAAAGATAGGGACGATGCCCATAAGGCAGATGAGACCCATAGGGGTAATATACAGGCTGGGGGAGACTACTGAGAGGGGAGTGGAGGTGGGATTAGGATCAGGATGTCGAGTACATGGGTAGTCGTCGCTCCACCCCCGCATCCCCCATCTCCTCTCGCTCCCCGTCGTCTTCATCTTCCTCGATGGTCGTACTCATCCTCTGTAGTGCTCCTTGTCCTCCTCATCAACTTAAGCCTCGTCTGTTTCGTCCTACTCCTCGACCCTCAGTCCGCGCCTTCAGCACGCGCCCTCCATGTGTTTGGATTCCCAGGACCCGCTCGGGCACAACGTGGCCGTCGTCTTGGACGGGACCATGGACGTGCATCTCGTCATGAGGTCTCCAGGGCGTGGACTGCCCCCGACGATCGACCGAGGCAAAACAACGAAAAAGTTCGACCTGCGTCAGAGAGCATTGCACACATACTTGTGGCAACGAATCGGCCCCTGAAATGCAATCGGGTTTAAGTTGTGGTTCCCTCAATACGAGCCGAGAACTGGTTGTGGTTTTGCATATGGGTACGTCCAGCTCGGCTGACCCCCTAACCCTCTCAACCACGTCCTCATCATATTTCCCACCTCGCTTAACCTCGCCACGAGCATCGTCATCGTCCTCGTTCTTTCGCGGGTCTCACGCGTCTGGTCTGGCCGATTAGGACTCGATCCCCAAATCGCACCGAAATTCCACCCTCGCATACCCTAAATGGAGTGGTGGGGCAAAACGGGTTCAGAACAGGAGGCCGGTGAGTGGGAATGGAGGCGGAGGAGGATCAGGGGGGATCTGATCAGGAGGAGGATGAGGATGAGTGGAGGTAGTGCGATGATAGGGCATGTGTGGCGGAGGGGGTCCGATCACGTTCACGATGCGATAGCCGCTTCTGGTCAAGTATATGAAGCAGCAGCACCGATACCACGATATCAGATTGTGGATCCACCGCGTACCAGTCACAACCATGAACGATGCCGTCGTGGACGTGTCATCCAGCGAGGGCGCCCCAGCGGGGCAGACCCTGCATGAGGACCCCCATAGAGAGCGTACCCTCTACATCAGGAGGAGGATGAGCAGAGAGGAGGAGGGTGTGGAGGTAATGGAGAATAGGAGGAGCAGGAGGATCAGGAAGAGGATGAGGCAGCATGATGAAGAGGAGTATGGACCGAAACCGTGAGGAGTGGCGAAGAACGCCCATACAAGGCCCTCGATAATTCGGGTACCCCCCCATATTGATTGCGCATTGCTTGGACATTCCCGAGGATGCATCGGATAACGAGCCGCTGCAGCGCACCTTCACGGCGAACACGGCGAAGGGAGTTGACTCTGACGAGGATGCGCTGTGCCAGGTGCGCCAGTTTATCGATTCGGAGAAGCTGGCGCAGGAGCTCTGCGAGGAGGAGGGGCAGGATCGGAAGGAAAAGGACGCCTCGGGGGCCTCGGGCAGCACGGACGGCGGTCTGCCTGCGACTGCTCCCGCGGCAGACGCGGTGAGTCGTGCAGCGGGCCTTGGTGAGTCCTGGCAGGCTGGTGGTTCGCCGCTTCCAGATCGCGATCCTCGCGGTGCCGAGCTCCCTGGCGTGGCAGAGCTCGCGGAGCTGGCGCCGAAGGACGGCGCGCCGACGGACAGTGCGCCGAAGGACAGCGACAGCGACAGCGAGGACCTAAAGGCAGAGGAGGAACGTGTTCTGCGAGAGGCTGAGGAAGCGAGGAGAGCAGTCATCGCGCAGGAGGCGGCTGCGCGTGAGGCAGAGGAGAACGCTGAGCGCCAGGAGGCTGAGCGCAAGGCGAAGGAGGACGAGGCAGCCAGGAAGGAACAGGAGGGGGCCGAGTGGCTGAGGCGCGAGCAGAAGCGCTGGATGGAAGATCGCGAGGCGCGCAATGAGGCTGCAAAGAAAGCGAGGGCTGCTGCGCAGGAGGCAGAGGAAGAAGAGGCCAAGAGGCAGGAGGCAGCTGAGGAAGAGGCGAAGAGAAGGCAGGAGAAGAAAGAGAAGAGGATCGCACAGAGGCAGCGCATCGAAGAGCTCAAGAAGGCGACCGCTGAGGCGCGCAGGCAAGACGAGCTGCTGAGTGAGAAGATGAAGCAGGCAGAGGAGAGAGAGAAGCTCGCGAAGGCTCGCATGGATGAGGTACAGCGTTCGATCGAGACGAGCCAGAAGCTGCTTCGGTCGGCAGAACCTGCGCTCGGTGACTATCCTGGTGGGAAGGACCTCTCGGGATGCACTTAACATCCCCCCACCAGCAGTTCCTCACGTCGTGCTTCTCTCGTCCTCATGCTGCTGCTCTAATCAATTGTGTCCGACCCGCGCCCGCCACATCGAACGCATCCGCATTGAGAGGGGCTACCATCTCAAATGACGGATATGATCGTGACATGCGACCCCACGTCGCGATATCATCCGTGACAATGGTGGCAAACGGTGTGTTGTTGTTGGGGGTGGAGATGGTGTTGGTGTTGCTGCTGTGCTGCCCCCATCGCGATGATGCGCCACTGCCGTCGCCGTCCACCCCCTCTCCTTCTCATGCTCTCCCTCCTTCTCCGTCTCCTCCTCCTCCTCCTCATCGTCCTTCTCCTCCCCCTCCTCCTCCACATCCTCCCCCCCCGCATCCTCTGTTTCTTTTTGGAACCTATGCCAGGACAGCCAAGCTTCCGCATCAGCTGATGCCTCAGTCGAGCCTGCTGCGCCAGCTGTGGGTGTGGGGTCACCAGATGCGAGCGCGGGGTGCAAGCCAATCGTCGGGCAGCTCATTCGCAATCGCAGCTCCGAGAGGGAGCCACCGTCATCTGCTGCGACTGCGTCCTCTGATTCGAGTGGGTCAAGCGCAGATCCGACGCTCATGGGCAACAAGTCGAAGAAGGAGCTCCTGCTGGACATCGACAAGGAAGTGAAGCTCATCACGAACGACATATGCGCTGGCAGCAACATCGACGACGCGTCGGCCGAGTTCGCGAGCAACCGCCTTGCTAAGATCTACCATTCCGAATCTTTGGGGCGGATCCAAACCCTTCGGAAGTTGGACCCGTTCTGGGCCGACGAGCAGCGCAAGGCCACAGGGCAGACCGACGAGGAGATGGACGACGAGTTCAGGGAGTTCTGGCTGGCCATGGAGAAGAAGAACTTCTACTTCGACCTGGACGAGACCGCGCCAAATCCAGCGGCTGCGAAGTGGAGGAGGGCGAAGGCCGCCAACCACGGACTTGCAGATGAATACAAGAAGAAGAAAGGGTTCAGCGACAAGGCCGCGTACCGCCAGGACTGGTTGAAAAGGGAGTTCGATAAGTGGGCGCAGCGGGTGCAGTACAAGGCTGGCGAGATCAACGAGAAGGCTGAGTCAAAGGATGGTCAGTACATCTCGCTGGCCAAGATCGCAGTCGAGGAAGGTGGAGGTAGGGCGGGCCTTCGAGCGGCCATCAACTGGGCTCACTACTGCATCCTCTTGGGCGGCGAGATGCTCGAGTATTGCGAAGGCACCAAGCAGATGAAATATTTGCACATCGTCCACAGGCTCACGGACACCTACAAGAAGGTCAATGCGAAGTGGACTACATGGACGCATATGGATGACCCAGCCCTGCCAGCGCCGACGGCGCCAGCTGGGGGGGCGCCTGCCGCGCTGCCTGCGTCCGAGGCCGCCAGCGGAGAGCCCGCCCAGGAGCCCGCGCCGTCAGCGGCCCAGCCCAAGTCCAGGGCGAGCAAGAAGAAGACTGGAGCTGCTGCTGGTGAGGAGGCGGCGCCAGCAGGCAAGAAGCGGAAGTGCAACCAGGGCGATGACACGGGCGACGCTGGCAAGTCCACTGGTGACGGCAACGACGGCGAGCCCACTGGTGGCCACGGCAAGAAGGTGCCCACCAAATCGCCTGCTTGGCTCGTGGAGTTCCGAAAGGTCAGACATGTGGAATTTGCCACCTCATTCCGTCATGGCACTAACCAGCATACTATCATACGTAGCCTCTCATGCTACCTAACAGTGCACCATCTCCCCTCCTAGTCTACCATCACGCTTACACACCCTTACCCTCATCTTAACAGACATTGCTATTGACGATCTTCATCCCACCACCCCCACCCCCTCTCCGTGATGAGAGGGGGATGAGGAGGGAACGCAGCTGCATTCGTTGGATCCCGCTTTCTTTCCAAGGTGAAGAACGTTTACAACATAGTCACCTCGCAGGCGCGCACGGTCTCGGAGAGCATCAAGAACGACAAGAAGTGGGCGTGGGCCATGGCCAAGGTTTCCGACCCCAATGACCCCGATGGCGAGCCCATGTCGCTTAACAAGCACATGAATGACGCTCTGACCGAGGTCATTTGGAATCATAAAATGTATGGATGAGGATGATTCGGAAGCTGATGATAATGATGAGATTGAGGTTAACTCATGATGAGGATGAGGAGGAGGATGAGGGATGCGGAAGATGAGGATGATGATAGGAAGGCGGATGAGGATGATATGGAGGAGGATGAAGATGAGGATCGGGAGGATGGTGTGGGTGGAAATGAGGATGAGGATGATGATCAGGATGATAGAAGGGATGATTGAGGCGGCTGAGATGGAACAACTTGAGGGATGACGCGGTGACAGCCGTTGGCGGTGTATTCCTCAGCAGGTGAATGATCTTCTCAAGAAGGACCAGCAGGTTGCGAGCCTGTTCACCGTGGAGCAGATCGCAGAGTTCAAGAAGGGGTGCTCGTCCGATGCTGACTTCGAGACCGCCGTGGTGCGCGCGAACAACAGCATGACGATGCCGCTGGGGAAGCTGCAGCTGGAGACCAAGAAGCTGCTCAGGCAGCACGCGTCCCGCATGGAGTTCGAGGATTCGCCTGCTAAGTAGATGTACCCGAACCATTGTGTAGCAATTGTTAGCTTGGATCGAACAGAAGGCCTCCCTGGATGCATCCTGGTCGGGGTCGGGACCAACGAACTGCAATTCGTGTATGCTGTCTGTTCAAATCCGAGTTAGCACTTGCACGTGAATGGTTGTTTTGCTCAATCGGATGGCATGGCAGCAACACTGGCAGCAGAATACGACAGATACCCAGTTGGACCGCCCCGCGGACCGGTCACCGGCCCAAATCACACGAAAACATACCGTGTCTGAAAACCGTCTGAAAACCGTCTGAAAACCGTCTGAAAATTCAGAATAAGCGTAAAAACACATATAAAACTCACTGTCTGAAAACCGTCTGAAAACCGTCTGAAAACCGTCTGAATTTGTCTGAATTTGGGGGCCGATGATTTCCTTGGTTCACCGCAGAATTCTGGTATCTGGTATGCTGCTGGCCGTTCTGTTCGGCAGAAAGTTGCCGTGTTCTTGGGATGGATCGTTGCCTGCTGTCCCGCGTGCACAAGTCTGCACAATTTAACAGTGCTGGGTCTATTGCTATGCTCGCTCACAGGCGCTGAAGGGTCTGTGAGGCGCGCAACGAGATGATATATATGATGAGGGGGTTGTGGGCAGAGGATGGGGCATACACGGACAGATGCGATGACGATTTGATGGTCATCATGATATGCTAATGTGGTTTAGATGGTAGCGCATGCAGCAGAGCAGCTGAGGCAGCGCACAACGAAGCCAGCGACGACGATGGTGACGATGTCATGTATGTTAAACACGATGACGGTGGTCTATTGTACCCCATGACGACGACACAGGTGGGTGATCATGATATCAGGGACGATGACGGTCGCTCCATGCGTAGACCCGAGCACACGCGAGGGCGCTGAGAAGGCTCGCGCGACGCATGCTTTGCCAGGTGTGAGCACTTGGTATTTGACGCATGCGCCCGTAGGGTGCGAGCCTGGCAGATGTAAGCTTTGCCATCGTTCTGTTGACCGTAACGTCTCGACACGGGCAATTTCAATGTTCGTGCTGCGCTCCGTTTGTGAATGACTGTTCCAGTCTCATCCCCTCCGTCACGCATCGCTCACCACGCCCATATTGCGCAATGCAGACACGCCATGTGCCACGCCGCTCTATGACACATGTGTGTAAATGATAGGGTACACTATATCATGTGTGACCACCACAACTGATCACAGCGGCGCGAATGATGAACGAGTGGATGCGCATGACTGGAGGACTGTCTACTGCCCAAGTCGTGATGATTTCGCGACACTGCCTGTAAACGCCTCATGTCGCCCAGGTGCGCATTCGCATTCTTTGTTCCGATCTCTGTCTGTACACTCCCGAGGTCCTAACCCAAACATCACACTGTCGGCTCGTGGTCTGCCCCCCCCCCTCCTTCACGGTAGCTCGTTTGTTGCCCAAACCCAAGATGTCGCGGCGTTATGGGAAATTCAACCGCTACTGTACACCCGCGGCCCGACTCAATTCTGCAAAACTGTTCGATACATTGCTTGCGATACATGGCAGCTGCAAGCGTATTACTTCAAAGGACATGTGCATCATATCACATTACGCAGTTATGAGTGGGGTCCCTGGTTCAAGCTTTAAACAACTAGCGCTCCCCCCAGGGCTGCCAAGTGGCCGCTATTCGAAACATATCAAACGTCGGATGCCACGGGGTGGGCCATATTACAGAGCTGATATTCCGATATTCTCAAAGAGTGACCCAACCCAGAAGTCACGCAGCGTCGTGTTCAAATCAGTGATGCACACGATTGCCAATGAAGTAAATGCGACACCAGGCCTTCGTGATATGCTCAGGCGGGGGGACGTGACTAATCCCGATAGTGTGATGTCTCTACCAGCATACGCTTCAAATCCGATGACCATCCGCTCCCTTGCCGAGACAGGATCGTTCCCTCTACCACTTGGTATCTATGCAGATGGTGTGCGATACACGCCCGTGTCAGCAGGTAGAATCGAGCGCGTGGGCTGTCGCCTTACCCGACGCCCATGCACAGCTGCATACGCCATGGTACATATCGATATACGCACGCGCGCACGCGCACGCACGCACGAATGCAATCACAGCTGCCACATGTACTCGCACTGTTGCTGTGGGTGGTTTTATACAAGCGCATACTCAACGCGCATGCTGTACGAGTGCGTGCGTGCGTGTTTATTCCACCTGGGGATGCAGTGTAACATGAACAACGTTATTGAAGCTCATGTGCATGGTCAGAGTTGGTCGCTCGAATACCACATACGTGGTTGGAACAGTTTCACCGTGGCTTGTACTGACCACCAACTCCCCAAACGCTGGTGTTTCCGAGATGTGGTCATATGCCATGGACCCTTCTGGGTCGGCGGACTCACTGT